GCGCACGCTGTCTCCGCCCCACCTGGGCCGAGTCTGTGCCTGAACCCCTCCATCTGCAGGACCCCGGGACATGCCTTGGTGGGGGGGCAGCCTGCAGTCACCCTGCACCCCACGCCCCAGTCTCACTGTGAACTTGCCGCCCCCCGGGGCGGCCCACGCAGGGCCCGCCAGGACCACGCCGGAACTGCGGGGTCTGAGCAGGGCGCCCCGAAGGGGCCACTGCGCCCCCAGGCCTGTGGTCAGGTCACTGCCTCACACATGCTGGAGGTTCCTGCTGGAGCCCCGAGGCCAGGCTCCAGGCCCCTGCGGGCCCCACCCCGTGATGCCGCCATTTTCCGGGATCTCCGCAGATCCGTAGCTAAAATAACCTTCCGGCTCTTTATTCTGAATCTATCCTGGGCTTATTTATTCTGAATCACTGAACCAGTGTGCCCAGGCAAGCAGGGAGTGGGGCCTGGGCCTCTGGTCTGCAGCGTCCAGGCCCGCCCGGCCCGCGCCACACCCCCGCGCACGGGTCAGCAGCCGGCGTCTCTTCCGCTCTCCCCGCCGGCCCTGCTCGGGCCGGCAAGCCGGCTGCGGCGCTGGCCGCCAGGACCCGGAGTGTCTGAGCCGGACTGACGATCCTAGTTCCGCTTCTTTCCTTCTGCGTTGCCCTCGATGTGCCACTTCTGGTTTTTATTTAATAATAAAGGCAACCGTTCAACACACTTGCTGCCTCTGACATTCGTGTCTTCATTATTCGTATGAGTCATGTATTTTTTAAAATAGTTTGAAGAGTAGCTTGAAGTTCACACACAGAGGACGTGAACAGGAGGCACAGATTTCCCATCGGCCACCTCCCCCACCCTTCAGGCACACCTCGCTCCCAGGGGTGCCTCCCCCAACTACAGCGCACCCACCTGGAGGCGTGGGTGTCTACCAGCTGATGTTAAGGTCCACTCCTGGGGCTGTACAACCCGCGGGTTGTAAAGTGACAAGTGGCCATCGTTACTGGGCCTTACGAGCAGTCTCGCGGGCTTCGAGGCCTCCTGTCCTGCCTGGCCATCTCGGCCAGCCCCTGCAGCCTCTGGCCATATTTTAGTCTGCCGTTCTGCTTTTTCCAGGACGTGACAGAGTTGGAACCTTGCGGTGTGTAGCCTTTGGAATTGACTTACTCGTTTAACCATATTCATAGAAAATTGCTTTGCGGCAACTGGCTCTGTAGT